CTGAAAGCGACTAAAAATTTTGGGAACCAGTCTGATTTAATTGTAGGATGAGAGAGGGAAATAACACAGAACTTGAGTAAAAGCCATGCTTTGAGAAAAAGATTATGTTCATATTTATATCGAACTGGAATGAGAGCCCTAAACAACGAGAATATTCCCATATTCCCTAGTCAAGAAGAGAACTGATCAGAATATATATAAAAGATACTTTAAGGTATGTGTATGTGTGTATATGTGTATGTATATATGTAGCATATGTGTGTTTGTTTATATAAAATAAATATGTAAACACAAAAGTCTTTTACTTGCAAACTTTCAACTTACATGCTTCTCAGAGATAAACGCTAAATTCTGTTTCAAAGCACATATGTGTAATATCTGCCAGTCACAACAGGTAAAGCCCATCATCTGAGTAAAACCATGTTGGTTCCAAAAAACAAGTAAACTTAAAGGCAGTCTCCCAGAATGTTAAATTTCTGTACATTGAGTGTCTTTAAAAGGAATTATGATTGCTTCAGCAAAGCTAGATTTATTCAAACTGGCATTATGAAAAACTGAAGTGTTATCCAGTAGGTCACCATAGGTGACGAATTTTCAATAAACCAAAGGTCAGTACACTATAACTCAAACCACATAGAATATAAATTTGTCTTTGACTCAGGAGGCCCTTCTGGATATTCTAGAACCTCAGGGACAAATACCACGTGATTTCACGTACATGTGGAGACTAAAGAACAAAATAAACAACAACAACAGAAACAAACTCATAGATACAGAGAATATTTCGAGGGCTACTAGATGGGAGGGTGGTTGGGGGAAGGAAAAAAAGGGTAAAATGATTAAGAAGTACAAATGACAGTTACAAAATAGACATGGAGATATGAAGTAGAGCATAAGTTAAACAGTCAACAGTGTTATAATAAATACGTAATGGGGAAGTGGGGTACTAGATTTAGTGGAGTGATCACTGTGAGTTATATAGATCTCTAATCACTATGCTGTAGAACTGAAACTAATATATTATTGTATGCCAACTATAAATGAAAAAAAAACATTGAATTGTACCATGTAAATATGAGCAACTAATTGTCTATTATATTTCAATGAAGCTGGAAAAAAAGAATAAGGAGCAAAATTCTCCTATTCTAAACAACAAATATAGTAGAGGTTGGTCATATTGCCATTTGTTTTTCCATAGGCCACGTACAGGCATTCATAGGAGGGACTGGTAAAATATAAATGTAGTAAGAAATAAACAATTGCCTGATTTAATGAAGACTTTGCACATTACCAACTGTGGCTGTTTTTCTAATACAGTATCTATTTTTTGTTGATTTTTTTTTCTATCAGAACAATAATACGGTAATTATGTGCCATAAAATGTTTTATGTTACTAGATAAGAAGTGAAAATATTGAGCTGTCGAGTTCAAGAATTCATGGCTGACACGAGAGAAGCATCATTAAAAATGAACTAGACGAGAGTATGTCGATGAGGAATCATGATCGCCTCTTCTCTGTCTGGTCTCCCCGACTTCATAATGAACAAAGCTGGTGCTGCTACGTTCTTCACTGATCCATCTCTCCTCAGGAAAGGATTGTCAGCAGGTCATTGTAATGAGGCTATAACAAGTAACCTGGTGATATCTGTTTTTGTACTCCTCTCATTTTCTACTTTCCTGCCTCCCTGTATAACTAATGTGAAAGAATTAGTGGCACACTATTTATTTGGAATAAATACACAGAATGAATGGGCAGATGATATCTTCTGACACCGCCTGGGGCTCCCTGCTTAAGGTAAGAGCCCCAGTACAACCCATGGAACTGAGTTATTTCGTCAGCAACCACTGAGCAGTAAGGCTGTCTCCTGAGAAGACTTCAGCAGCTTTTATATATTTTTCTTATTTAAAATTTTTATTTTATATTAGTTTCAGGTATACAGTACATTGGTCAGACATTTAAATAATTTATGAAGTGATACCCCAATTACTCTATTACTCATCTCGCTCTATACATAGCCATTACAATACTATTTACTATATTCCCTATGCTGTACTCTATGTCCCTGTGACTATTTTGTAACTACTAATTTGTACTTCTTTGTCCCTTCACCATTGTCACCCAGTCCCCCAACCTCCCTCCCCTCTGGCAGTTACCAGATTGTCCTCTGTATCTTTGAGTCTGTTTTCCTTTAGTTTGTTCCTATTGTTCCTTCTGCATATAAGTGAAATCATACAATATCCATATTTGTCTGATTTATTTCACTCAGCATAATAACCTCTAGGTCCATCCATGTCATTGCAAATGGTAGGATTTCATTTTTTATGGCTGAGTAATATTCCATTGTATATGTAAACTATAACTTCCTTATCTCATCGCCTATTGATGGGCACTTAGGTTGCTTCCATATCTTGGCTATTGCGAATATCACTGTCATGAACACAGGGGTGCACAGATCTTTACAAATTGGTGTCTTGGTTTTCTTTGGGCCTTCAGCAGCTTTTAGATCATCAATGACAAAAAATGACTTAGGTAATTGCTAAAAGAAAAGAAGCATGAGCCACTCTATTTTAAGGAGGGTATCTTTATATATAATTTAAATTAATAGGGTTTAAGAGCAGAACATAAATCATGAATTTAGTAGGAAAATATTTTTATGGTTATTTGCAGTGTGCTTTTACTACCTGACAACAAGCCAAGCATTTTTCTTCCCTATTTCTTCCTATCTCTCTCTCACCTGCTTTGGCTATATAAGTAGCATTAATCAGTTTCCAATGTCTTATTCTCTTGTATTTTTAAAATCCAGATTATTCCCTGAAAAGAGAAGATGAAAAGGCACATACTTGTTTTGTGTTTTGGTTTAGGTGGTAAACCATTTGGCAATACTAGAGGTTATAATTTCAAATTTATATATTTGCAAACTCAATGTGATAACATTTTTTTAAAAAAATAATAATAGCCAAGAGTTGTTGATTATTGATTACATGCCAGGTAATGTGATAAGACCTTTATTGTCATAATCTCACTTAATTCTCTTAACATAACACCACGCTGTAGATAATATAATTATAACCATTTTATGGAATAGAAAACCTAATCTAGGTTTAATCTAGATTAAACCTCTACCATGGCAATGTTAGTAAATGGCAGGATTCCAATTTATTCCTGAAGTATATTCAACTTCAAGGTTGCACACTCTAAACTACTCAGCTACTTGTACATATTTTATACCACCCAGATACATTGTCACATTAATTTGCTACATCGTTATTATGTTTTTTCATTTGACAATTACTAAGCGTCAATTATGTACTACTGAAGGAGAAGCAAATCAAATCTTGTACATCCCCCAAAGAATGACACAAAATGTGAAAAGGTATAGAGATGAGCACATTATAATTTCAAAACCTGATAAGTAAGGAGCACTACTCAAATCGCAGAAGACCCCTCTAGTTGCTGATACATATGAACATAAATGATTCTCAAGGTGCGAGACAAATGCCCTCTTATTTGTGTGGCAGTTTGGTGGTTAAAAGTGGACTCTGGAGTGAGGCTGCCTAAGTACAAATCCTAGATCTGCTGACCGTAGCTGTGTGGTTTCGGAAATGTTGCATGCTATAGTTCCTGCAACATAAGGGTTGTTGGAGAGAGAACTGTTTGTTTTCTGATGCTCTGGCCATTTTGATCAAATTTTTCATTTCCTAGAGAACCTCATCCATTTCACTTCAAACATTCTTATTTAATTTAACAGACTCTGTCCTGTTCTGTTGTGACAACCTGCTGAAATGTGAAAAGGTTATAGGATAATTACAACCGGAAACTGGACAAAGGAAGTCTATACTTTAGGCCTAGTTTCTGGAACCCCTTAACCGCATTCTGTTAATCATGAAACTTGTAACAATGAGCTCATATGCTAACTGCCAATTTTAGCCTGTGTAACCCTGCTTGCTTGTATGGCATGAAAAATAATCAATTGTATATAAGCTGAAAATTACTGTTTGGCCATCGCCCATGAGAATACTGGCTATTGCCCATGGGAACATAGGCAATCACCCATAGGAACATAACATTCTAACAACAAGCTTTCTGCTTCTGTACTCCCCGCTTGCACACCTGATCAGTGGGTTGACAGGTAGTGAAAAGGAGAGAAATAAACCTTTGTGTTTAAGATAGAATGAAGAATGGGATTTAGGGCTTAAAAACTTTGTATCTTGGCATTTCGGGACTGCTCCTTTGTACAGTACAGCCGCTGGCTAATAAACAGCCTTTGAGAGCATACTTGGTTTTTTGGTCTATTCTATACAGGCCACAACACTGCATGTGCTACAACGTTATCTACCACTTTTCGTGCCAAAGAATAACTGTCATTCTGAAAAAAAAGTATTTTGGAAGAAGGAGTAAAGCCAGAGAGTTGGTTATATGAGGATGTACCTTTCTGGGCATACCTGCTTAACTCCTTTCTTGTACATGCTGATGCCCTTTTGCTTGTCTATTCCACATGCACGTAACAGAGTTGATACCCATGGATGGAGAGAGAAAGTGTCTCTCTTCTATTTTTTCAACTTGCTATAGAAAATGTTAAATAATGTAAGGTCCAGGAAAAGTCTCTGGACGCTATACCTTAGTAGGATAACCAAAGTGACACGGACTGTGATAAATGGACTTAGAATAGCAGCTGGCCCTTCTTCGTTTTTAAATAATGGTACTGAGATTTGTGTTTTCCACACCTGGGCGGACACCGAAATCTCCCATTATGTTCGTTAAAAACATAGACCAATCCTTGCTCTCTCCCTCTCCCACCATCTATTTCACATCCATGTCCAGTAATCTGCTTCACTGAGTCAAAGGAAGGCCCTGAAATCTGTTTTAATAGCTCTGGGAATCACTGTCTAAGATTATTTATAGTACATGTATTCATAAGATGTGAAATTCATAATTCAACAATAAGACTCTCCTTTTTTTTCTAAATTGACTTTGAAGATTATCTTATTTGAAAACCCAAGATCCAGTTTCACTTAATAGCCTGCTTTCCTGAGTTCTGATAAAGAGAGATGGGGAAAAAGGGTTTAAAAAAATCAGTCATCATTAGCTTGTTAAGATTCACAGCAATTAAAATTTTCAAGCTGGAAAAGATACTAAAAATATACTCATATTTCTTCACTTTACAGATACAGAAGCAACTCTTTCTGTGATGAGAATATTGAGATCCAGACATTGTAACTTCCCAAAACAAAACAGTTAACTGGAAAAAAAATTCTTGATTCCAATTACACTTCATAGTTGCTCTATTTCTCTAGTAAAGACCCACTTGGATTGGATCTATTTCTCGTTTTATGGCATTTAAGCTAATCAAGCCAAGTATATATATTTTAAAACATGAGCACATTAAGTATATGATCCTTTCATCAAATACCTCTTGGAATCACATTTTGAGAATTAAATCGAAGCTTACCTTTAGAGGCACCTTGACATCAAGGCCATAGAATAAAGGCAAGAGAGAAGAACAAGAATAGAAACAGAAACTGCAGAAGAAAAAGAAGAAGATTATGTAAATCTGAATTTCCATAGTGCCATTCTGGTTGTACAAAACCTCAGCTTTTCCACATGCTCAAGCCTGATCACTTCTCATATACACGCCAAGTATCTTTTGTGTCGAACAAACATAACCTTAATTTGTCTATTGGCAAAGCAACGCAGTGACTAACTGGTGATGTTCAACTAACATCGACTCACACATTTTAGAAATCTGAGGAGATCTTACAGATAATTTTGAAAGTGAGAAAAATAAGCGCAGTTAATCAACAGACTAATTTCACACAATTTCATGGCATAGTGAAACCTAGAGCTTTGATCTCCTGAGTCCTACTCCAATATATATTATTTTCTCTATTTTGAATATGTGGAAGGTTGTTTCGAAAACACAAAATATGATCAAAGCATACACTTAGTCAGTACTATGACTGGTGGTTAATGTGTCAGGTTTTAGGACTAAGGCACAGCAGGAAGAATGTCAATATGTAGAATAAACATACGACAAATTATCCACAGTGGGACACTCCTGAGAGGGAAATGGGGCACTATTTACACTAATTAGATCAGAGTGACATGTATAAACTGGGTCTGTCTTATACATTTGAGTTTTTGTGGTCTTCCTATTAGTATGAAACATGCTTATATATCAGTGCACAGTTCGGATAATGAACGTTTGATGCTGTTCTAGCCTGCCATGCTTCTGAGACAGATCTCGCCTTATTTGACCCATAGAAGGTAAGTGAAGTCTGATTTGTTTCTCTATACCAGGAATTTCACTAGAGAAGCAGATAGTTGGGTGGACTAACAGATGTCTGTGTAGCACTGGCATATTACAAAAGGTCACAGGTCAGGTCAGTTTTTTCAAATATTGATTTCTTTTGTAGTTAGTCAGAAAGTCTTTTGCCTTGTTATCACTCATCAGGTGCATTCTGTTGTCCATGACACCTTTGAATAAGGGTGATTTATGGCATTCTACATTGGGCATGTTGTTTGCATATTTCCTTTAATGCTATTACTTACAAGTCTCTTGCTTCACTATTGAAAAACTGTATGAACAAATTATAAATATGGTGCTAAAAGCTGCATATTGGTGGCTATTCTATTAGTGTGAAATGAAAAAACTCTGTTTTTGTTTTTTTTTTCCATTCTTTGAAGACAGAGAGGGATATAATGGCACCAAAAGTAGAAGAGGGTGGAGAAAGCGTGGAACGAAAAACTTCCACCATTCCTATGAGAAGGCCGGATATCAACAATACCTCCCTGGGCATGAGATGCCTGCTATTTAGTCTGCGGTGAGGTTCTTAGCCCATGCAGTGTGGTGGACAGACCTCTGGTCTTGATTTGCCATGGACTAGTTATACGATCTTGGGAAAATTGTTTAATCTCTCTGAGCCTGTGCTCTGTGACTCTTAACATCCACTGTGTCCATCTCAGAATACTTAGGAGGATCGAATGAGATGATGGAAGTGGGAGTGTTTTGGATACGGTAAAGTGCTGCACATTTAGGGCAATTTTGCTTTGTTATCACCTGATTTACATTCACTGTGTGCATGGGAATTAAGAACAAAGAAGAAATATTTTATGTACCCTGAGGGGATGTCCATGTATCCCAAGGGAAAAAAATGAAGACTATCTCTGGCATAAGTGATCTTTAGCCTTTTTATTAGGCTTGTGGGTGAGCAGAATTGAGGTCAAGTGAACATGAGAGTAGAAGGTGCTCATTTCATTCAAATCTCTAATCAGAAACCAACAAGATTATTTTTCAAGTGGCTTAATTCACTTCTATATGTAGAATATGTTGCTTTGACAGCTAAAGAATCCTTATTTTCTATTAAGTACATTATCTCATTATCATAAATGTTTAAGAAGGTCAGACCTGTGAAATGAAAAGTTCACACTGAGTTCTGGCAGTGAGCATAACCTTAATTCCCCTCCTCCCACGTTTCTTATGAAGATGGATATAAAAAAAAATTTCTTTTTTATTTGTTTTCCTTAGCTAAAAGGAGACTGATGTGAACTAAAGTTTCTGGGACAGAACTGTCTTAACTGTGACTTCCTCCTTGAGCCAGCACCAGGACTGTATAAGAATTAGTAGAAAAAATGACTAAAGCCAAGAATTCGCCATTCAAAAACGTAAAAAATGGGAGACATCAGGTGTGTCCTTTGACAACCAGGGAAGTTGTGGGGCTATCCCTGCTTCCTACGGGGCTCCCTGCCCAACACTGGGAAATCAGACGAAGACCCTGGATTACCTGTGCCTCATTCAATCTTGCAGAACTAAGTGGCACACTTCTGAAATGAAAACTGAAATTTAAAAATTTGAAGAAGATGTGTACTTTACATTTGGAAACTTTAAAAATTATATTTTTAAATCTGACTTACTTTTTCTTTAGTGTTTCCTAATATCCATATTAGTGACCTCATTTGTCCCTCATGGAACCCATAAGAGGAGGTGAAGGAGTGTTAGCATCCCTATTTTATAAATATGGCTTAGAATTCACTTACCCAAGGTCAAATAAGTACCCCAAAACCCAGCCTATGCAAGAATCCAGGTGGCTGCTGGTCTGGCTACTGGCCCCCACCGACTTTCTCTGATTTAAAGTATATGGACAACTATAGAAGCAATTTGGGATACACCAAATTCTAACCATTGTCTCAGAAATGGCAGATGGTTTGCTATTTTCTTCTTGAGTGACTATGGAAGATATTGCAAAACAACCCTGTTATTTTGCAACACAGGTATTCAGGCAGCTACTTCTGGTCAATCAGATTAGCATGCCAGAAAAAGCTTCTTGCCGTCCTTGGTGTGTTCTTCGGCAGGGCGCTCTCAGCATCACAGGCAGGATAATTTGTTGTTGTGCAAGGCTGTTTAGCTTACTGCAGCTTGTTCAGCATCAGTGTGTGAGCCTCCCTCTCCTCTACCACCACGCACACATTTCCAAATACCCTCTCTAAGAACTGCTATGTTTTACCCCCAAAAAACTGTTGGCTACCTTGAAAGAAGCAGTGGTCTGATTCTTTCAGACCACTGGGAGAAGTAAAATGAGGAAGTGACGTGGGGCGTAATCATCATATACGAATCTAAATTTCTGAATTAATTATTGAAATAAAACTGTGAGACAAGAAACAAAGGGATTTTTTTATGAATAATAATGAGAAATTTTTTTAAGTGTTAAAAATATTGTAAAAAAAAACAGAGTGGCAAAACTCAAAAGAAACTTTTGGAAAGGAAATGAAGATGAATAAGAGGAAGCTGAAGAAAGAAAATACTTATAGAAAAGAATAGAAATCGACAAAAAGGGCAAAATGCCAAGGCTAGGTTACTAAAAGCAGGACCTTTGCTGGGATCCTGGTGCCTGGCTGAAGGTGAAGTCTACATCTACAACACCTGCCTACGCAAAAAACACAGTAACTGAGAAGAAAGAAAGAGCATACAGGGAGTAAAATCAATATTATTTTCTGATTAAAGAAATAAAGATTAAAATAGATGTTACAGTGAACACATACCTTTTCTTCTAAGTCCTTTATCTGTCTTTTTTGGATATCTGTTTTATCTTCTAAGTCACGAATTCTCTGAAGAAAAAAAGGAAAGCATTAGTGGTTATTAAGTTGAACAAAAAGATTGTTCACCAACTTAAAACAGAAAACTTTCTATAAAAACATTAACATTAGTACTAGCAGTTGGAAACAGCACATGTACGTTTTTCCATACCTATTGTTGCATTTTCAGAATTACCTGTCCTTGTAGTGGAAAATCATTGTCATTGACTATATTAAAAAAATACATTTGCTACCCCTCTCTACTGGGTCTGTCCCTGCAGACTCCCTCCCTGTGAGAGAGGTATAATCCCCACCCCATTGTCCTTGGGCTTGACCATGGGAACTGTTTAGGCCAGTGGGATGTGACCTGTGGGAATGCCACATCCTAGGAGAGGCAGGGGTATGAACCAGAACTAGTGAGCAAGAAACAAACTTTGTTGTAAACCAGTTGGACTGAGATTTTTAGTTGCTTATTACCACAGCAAAGAATGGCTAAAGCTGGCTCACACATATGTAAACAATTCCACTATTTTTTTGCTAACCTTTCTTTTCAACCTTATTTTAATTTTGTGTCAGGATAGAATTTCCTAAAAAAACAACAACAACAAAAAAAACACACAAAAAAACCACGATTGGCGAGTTCTCATAAAACAGATTAGAGTTCCACAAAAATTCCAAGGATGGAACTGGTAAATTAGGAAAAAACTAAACCAAACAAAAATAGCACAAGTAATCCTGAAGACAAAAATGTTCCAGGACTATTTTTTAATTTATTTATCAACTATACAATAAAAATCCAGTAACTTAAATAGCACAGATTTGAAATCAACATTATATAGACAATTATTTGCAAGTGAAACCTATCTGGCAGAGTAAAGGCCTTTTATGTTCTCAGCACATGGTTACACAGTGCAGGCTTGTTATTTAATGTCTTTTTTGTGAATAATTAGAAAATGGAGAATTGGAGTCTGAGAAGAAAACACTGAAAGCCAAATAGGGTGATAATATAGAAAGAGAGGTTTTTATAATGCAATGTGTGGAGGAAAAAGGAAAGCTAGAACAAAGAATACTTCTAATTGGAAATCGTATTTCCCTTTTTCTAAAACAGTGGTTCACAACCAGGGATAATTGTGCCCCCCCGCAAGTGGACATCTGGCAATGTCTGGACATTTTTAAAAGGGAGCTATTTATTTATTTTAAAGCATACAATTCTGTGGTTTTAGTATATTCACAAATTTGTCCAACTCTCATCACTATCTAGTTGTCTGGACATTTTTTATTCACATGTGATTGCTGGTCACAATGGGAGAGTTTGTGTGTAACTAGCACCCAGTGGGCAGAGGCCAGGGATGCTGCTAAATACCCCACAATACATAGGACAGCCTACCACCATAAAGAATCATGGCCCCCAAATGTCAGTAGTGCAGAGACTGAGAATCTTGCTTTAAAGGGAAGGCGCTGAGGTTTGTGCAGGAGGGGATGGTGTGTTTTGGTCAGAGATATCATCGTGACTGACCTTGAAATTATATAACGATGAATGCTGGAGAAGGGAATGGGAGAATGTTGATGGTGTGTATATGTGTGTGTGCTGTGTGCTTGTGCGCATTTCCATAGTGCTGCTCATGCTCCAAAACTATACCTTAAAAGAATAAAATTGCTAGATATTTCCACGTTGAGTGTGCAAGTAATTTCTTAGTATAGCTACTAGATGAGGAAACAAGTATTTTATCAATAAAATTGTGGCCATGTGAAATTACTGCAGTATCCATTCACCTATCAAGTCTGTGCTTGTTGGGCAACTTCTTACATATTCAGTACTGTGCTAGATGTAATGAAGAATACAAATAATGGATCGATTAGTTACTGATCTCAAAGAACTATCAGATCCAGGTAGGGAGACAAAATTTAAAACACAGGGAAAAACAAATTAAATAGAAGAGGTAATCAATGGCAAAACCATGCATAACTTTTTCACCATCTCCAATAGCTCGTACAATGTTTAGCACAAAGAAGTTGTCTATACATGTATATTAAATGAGTTAGTTAAGCTACATTGCATGATGTATACTTTATTTCTTTTTCCTTCCCATCATCTACTTGGCATCCAATCCAACAGGAAATGCTGTCAAGTCCAAAAGAGATCTTCTTTCTACCTGCTTTTTTATCTCTACTGCCACCGAGTGTACCAAGTCACTCCCTCAACAGAACTGGTGTGATAGCTTACTGCCAGCTCCTCCTGCTTCTAGTCTTGTCCATTCTACGTCCATCTACAGAAGCCAGAGTGAACTCTTAAAATGTGAAATGCTCACGGTCAGTCCATGAGTTTCAAGTTGGTGAGGAAGGGGAAAAAAGGTTAGCTGAGTTGCACTCAGAATAAAACCCAAGCTTCTTGAAGGTCCACCATGATCCAGACCTGTCTTTTCTCTCCAATTTCACTTCATATTAACCTCCCGCTGGCCCCGTGTGCTCCTGCCATACTGGCTTTCTCTCTGTTCCCTGAATATTCCACACATTCCCACAAGAGAGACTTAGTCTCTGCTATCCCTATCTTCTGGGACACTTTGCCAAAGTCTTGGTGTGGCTGGTTCCTTGGGTTTTAGACATCTTTAGAAAGGCCTGCTCTAACCAGCCAGTCTAAAGTGGCCAATCCTATGCCCACTCTTGTATATTTTCTTCACAGTGCTTATTGCTCCTCTCTGAAGTAGCCTAGGTCACTGTGCATCCGTGCTGTCACTTTGTCCCTCTTCATCTGTAGGAAAGATGAGGGCAGTGACCTTATGTCTTTGTCCGTTATTATATTCCCAGCACCCACCACAAGCAAGCCTTCAAAAGATGGTTTTGAATGAGTGGATGATAGGGTACGGAATGTAGATTTTTTCAGTAGTATGAGTTCTATTATTTTCATCAGAGAGAGCATCGTGAATGAGGTGGATCATAAACTGGGACTAGAAAAATGAGAACAGTTGGGTAAGTGCAGCAGACATTGAAGGGCATTTTAGAGTGAGTCTTCATGCCAACAAAGGCTTGGAAGTGGGAAGTCATGGCCCACGTGGTACCAGAAAGAGTTCTGCCTGAGTAAGAGGAAGATATGCTCTGGAGAGTCTCTCAAATCAGGCTATTCTGGGGAGGGATAGTCCGCTAATGAAGGACCTGGAGAGACCTGCGTGGGACAACACTCAACTGGAAATTGGGATCATGGAAGCTTTTGAAAAAGAATGCACCATGAAGAAAGATGAGAAAGATCTGCAGTGATGTGCGTTATGAACTGGAGAGGCAAGTGGGAAATCCCCACAACTAGGTCTTCACGGCATATGCATAAGATGTCTTTATGTCGTTTGTCAAGAGATGTGATAATTGTTTTTCTTTATGTTGATCTCCTTTGTCTCCATCTGTAGACGTTAAGCTTTATAAAGGCGGGGTCCGTGTTGAATCCTTTATGTCTAACATGGTATCTACATCTCAAATCTGCATTTAAACATCTGACTAAATAGATGCACAGATGGTGGTGTCAGGTTCCCTCTGAGGACATCTGGCAGTACCTGGAAGCTACTGCAGTAACGAAACATCTTGCATATGCCTGGGAACTCAAGTGTGGAAAAAATGGACCAGCTTCAAAAACATTTCAGGGGAAACAGCAGTTGGATGTAGTGCTCTATTAACTATTGTTAACGGATGAAGAAGGCTCCAGAGTTTCCAGCCTGAGTGCTTTGGGATATGGTGATTCTACTGACCAAGACAGGCAGATCAGGGGAGAAGGGAAAAAAGTAAGGAGATTTAGGTAGGTTTCATATAAGTTCACTCTGAAACATTTGAACAGAATGCCTGATAAATGGTTAGTGACATACTCCAGAATTTAGACTGAATCACATACTTATCCATGACAAATCCTGGCCAATGCCTTCTGGAATAATTCTCTCAAATCAAAGCTACTGATTAAAAAGAAAGAGGAGGAGTAAGAAATTACTAGAAAAAGAATACTCCCATGAACATTTGTTTGGAGGACAGAAAATGTCGACAGAACTCTCTGAGGCTTAGAAATATTATGTTCCCATCAGCTCAGACTGGATAACTTAAAACAAATAAAACCATCTCTTTTGGAGTTAAATAGCTTAGCTAATAAAGAGAGACCCAAAAGAGGTGACAAGGTTTTAGTAATAAATAAATTCAGATAACTATTTGTCCACCTTAAAAATTTGAAACACTTCTGTGGTTCCATGGTACAACTTGTAATTTTTTAAATTAAATGCCATTACAGCAGAAGAAATTTATGCAGAGGACACTTTCATTCACTGACAGAAGGATGCCTGCAGTAATGCAATGATGCCATAGAGTCTATTATTAAAGGCCTTAAAAACTCTTTCCAGGGTCAAAACCCAAACCTTTATGATGGAATCTGAAGGAGCGTTGAAACGAACATGCATGTGTTTATCATCTGGGACAAATGGCTTCAGAGCTCCCTGTTAACTTGGGTAGTCCGCTAGCCTATAAAGACCTGTACAGCTAGCTACCGGCTACATCCGAGTTCCCCATAAACTGTTATTGCTGTCATGAAATAATCGCTGTTCCCTTCCGGTTCACCTTGGTCTCTGATGACCACGTGGTTCTTACTTCTTGTACAGTCCATCTGGATTTGTACCAGTTGCTTATTACAGCTTCTGGGTACTGAATACTATAGTTTGGCACTTTTGATTCTGGAATTCTTATCGAATCTACTTGTTGACCTAGTCCTTGCCTATCAAGCTATGACATCAACTAAGAGATAGATTAAAAAATTAATATTGGGTGTCTACTTTGGGCCTTGCTGGTCCAGATGAATCATATAAATCATACATGACTCAAGCTGCAGAAGACAGTATAGTGCAGTGGGTATGTGCACTGGCCTTGGAGTCAGGCAGAACTGGGTTGTAATCCTAGTTCTCTTGCTCACTTTCTGCGTCATCTTGGGCAAATCACTTAAGCACTCTTATCTTCAGTATCGTTATCTCCTAACTTGGGATAATAAGTATACTTACCTTAGTGGGCTATTGTGAAGATTCAATGAAATGATGTAAGTAAAACCCTTAGTTTTGTTCTTGACATAGAGCAAATGCCAGGAAGTAAGTAGCAGCTTCTAAGCTTTGATGTTGCTGTGTGTTCTGGGAATAAAGAGTAAGGCCCTTGTTTCTTTCACCCTATCCAGATTATTTGATCAGGCTAGGTTATGGACTAGGATGAGGGACAGGAGGAAAGCATTATTTTTGTCCTAGAGAAAGTCTTGCTTCCTTGCATAACGAAGATAATCAGGCTCCATGAGATTCAAAAGGTATTTCATGACGAAGTAGTTGCAAAAATAGCAATATGCAATGCTTCTGAAATGCCAATTTTCTTAAGATTGAATCATTACAAAACTGTCATCCTGTATCTGAGTGTAGGTGGAAAACAACAGTTATTTATTTTACCCTCCGGAAATAGCTTCTAGCTCCTGGGCTTCTCCATACCCCTACCTAATACCAGGTACTTAGTACTAAGTCCCATTTGCTGAGTACCAACCCTACACAGATGTCACTTGATCCTCACCTGATGGGCTTGCTGTAAGAGCTCCATTCTCTCCTGAAGAATCTGACAGTCATACTCTCTGCTCTTCCTCAGCATCTGCCGCCGTAACTTTTCTACTGCTGTCCTCAGCTCCTCTTGCTGTTTTTCACTTAATAATTCACCAAACTTGATAACAGTTTCTTGCTGCAGAGCATTGTACAAAGTAGCTTCTAGTTCCTGGATTCTCTGGCAAATAAAATTAGAAAAGTCTAACTTTGGAACTTAGCATTTATGTGTGGTGTGTGAATGTACATCGATGTATGTATATGGGAAGAGATGTATTATTTTAGTCTTACAGGATCATAGCAATAAAATAAATCTCACAGCTTATCCTCCCTAACTACCCTTTTGATAATCCCCTTTATAAGATTCTGTAAGAGTCATCTAGCCAAAACATTAAGTTCTCGGATGATGGAAATTTGTTCTTATTCTTGGGATCCTGCCCATATCGCAACTTTCATTTTTAGAAAGTTCTTACTTTGTTATAACTGTACATCTTTCTATTCTCAAATGTAGCTGAAAATAAGTTTGTTTTCTCTTCCATTTGATAGCCCTTCAGATATTTAAGGACATCTATCATGGTGGCTATACTTTGAGAAAGAAGTATTAAAAAGTGATCTAAGAATAAAATATTTGAAATTGGATATGTTTCATATACAAAATGCCACCTCTCTTCCACATGACACGCCTCTGTATGTGAAGATGGTTTTCCAAGTTTCATATTTTTTCTTAAAATAAAAATTGGGAAGTATGATCTAAAAATGGCCTAGAATCTCTGGAATTGTTCTTCTTCTTCTTCTTTTTTAAATACTCTGTGATTTACATTTCTCTAGCCATAAAATACTTCCGTTAGTCTTCCCCTTTTTAGATAAAGAGCCTGCTCTTCCTTATATCCCAGATTGTTTATTTGTTAAACATGCTTCCGATACAGCTGTCAAAATCTAAGCTTTTATTCCCTGTGACTTTGACAGAGGTAAATAGACATGCCCCGGTGAGGGATGCTGCCCTGGCTCTTGTGAACTATGAAGATCTCATCTCTTCAAAGTTCGATATAATGGTCTAAATGAGCACTCAGTTATGGGATGCAAATACACAGTTTAATCTTGTACAGGTGGAGCAGCAAGGGTAAAAGGGTAGGAAGGGAGGTGAAGAATCGCTTCCTTCTTTATTCTCTAGTGACCCACTCATTCTCTCCTTTTCCCCTCAGGTAATGCTCGGAATCTCTTATTCATTTTGGAGGGGAAATACTAATTCATCGTTGTTACAAGCATAAACTAAGTGCTTCACTTTTTTCCCAAAAGTGACTCAGGCTGCTTTCAGTAAAGCATTATAAAAACCTCTACTAGAGACTCCTTGAAATGTTGCTCTTTTAAGTTTGTTCCTTTTCTCTTGAGTCATTATCATAAATTAATGGGGGGGAGGGATGTTACATATGGAGGGAAGAAATGCAAGCTATAGTCCAATATTAGGAATTACTTATTCTGATTTGGAGAATTACTTATTCTGTAAAGGAGAATGGATCAAATGTGCTCCTCACTCATAATCTTCTGTGGGACAGAAAAAGGCCCATTTACTGATACAGCCCTTACATGTTATGATAGTTATGCCTATGATGCTTGGAGTCAGATATAAGTATACCACTTACCAATTTGGGTGGTTTATTCACTCTCTAAGCCTTCATGTCCTCATATGTAACATAGGAACAAAATATTACCTACACCTCATAGGGTTGTTGTGAGAAATAATTGAATTAAAAAATATATAACCAACATTAAGTACTTTATTATTCTCCCATTAGATTAGTTTCCCAAACAATTGGATTTAGTACGATTTCTCTTTAACTTAAACTGCTAACCTGTCTTTCAATAAAATATTATATAACAACATACACTGAATTTAAAAAAAAAAAGAAGTATAATGAAGTATTTATTAAGTATTATAAGAATATAACAGCAAAGAGCTAGGAATATATTTGTTCTAAAATTAGAATGGGAAACCATTGAATAAATGAATTGCGTCTTGTAGCCTATTCAAGTACGAGGCATGACAAGTTGAACAGAATGCTTTCCTCCATAGCACATAATTGTAAACACTCTGGGTGTCCTGACTGCTTGTTGTACCCACCATATATGCTTGGTCGAGAGCTTGTTTTCTGTAGTCCAGTTCTTCCTCCAGATAGCCTTTAATTTTGCAGAACTGTTCCTATAAAAAGGGCCATGTTGATAGAGTTAGCTTAGTTAACTAGAAAGTGATATATAAATTGTGCTGATTAATGTTTTCTCTAATTCCAGTCACAAGACACATTGCTAGTATTTGTAGTGTCATTGATTTTGTCTATTAGGGAAATAGGCCAACTTTCATCAGAGAATGTGAAAATCAATGAAAAGAAGCATAAAAGATACAATGAACAATCCACATGGAATGCTTTAAAGGATTTTTATGGCAATCCAAGAATATGTGATTAAGGATAGATTTGACAAGATAAATGTTAACTGATAATTATGTCTGTGCAAATATATTGTAATAGTATATTTTTGTAAGAATGTCATGAAATGTAATACAGCAGAGTCGTATAATAAACTTATCCAAAGTTATTTGTGTATGATTAGCAAATACAAAGACGGATAACAATTTAGAGAGTGATGGCGATTCTACCCACAACCACAATGCCACTTAATGAGTGATTGCTCTTGCTGCAAAGCCACTGTGAGTTGGGAGGCTTAAATCTGATGTTCCCTTGCTCATCCTCAACTTCTGTGTGCCTTAGGATTGTGAGAATCTTGCATTAGGATTTAAAAATATGACTTTGTGTACAACATAGCCTCAAGTATAGTCAATTATTTTTTTGTGTGCCTATTTGTCTTTAGTGCATATTGCCTACATGGAGCAATTTTGCTGATGACCTTCCTATTCCCTCTGAGCTCCAATGCCTAGAACAGTGCCAGTTACATGTTGAATGCATAATTAAAATTTGTGTATTTAAAGAGTTTTCAAGGATATTTTGAATATAAACAGTTCTTGTTACATGCTTTGACTTAGGAGCCTAACCTCTTGGTAAAATATAAGCAAATGATGTGTAAAGTTGTCACATGCTATATAAATGCAAGTTGTTCTTATTATAGGATTCCTGAACTTGATAGGAATCACTACCTGTTTATTAATAATAATGACATTAAAGACAGCAGTTATAAAATTCTATTACATATTGCTGTAAGTTAATAATGACCAATTACCAGGCTTGGGAATTTAAAAAAGATTAATTATGGTAAAATCCAGAAACATAAAATTTACCATCTTAAACATAAAATTTACCATTTTAATCATTTTAAAGTTCAGTAGTGTTAGATATATCCACAGTGTTGTACGACCCATCTCCAGAACTCTTTTCACCTTGCAAAACTGAAACTCTATACCCATCCAACAACTCCCATTTCCTCCTCCTCTTAGCCCCTGACAACCACCATTCTACTCTCTGCTTCTATGAGTCTGAGTAGGTTAGATACCATATATAAGTGGAATCATATAGTATTTGTCTTTTTGTGGCTTATTTCACTTAAGGTTCATCCACATTGTAGTACGTGTCAGAATTTCCTTCCTTTTTAAAGGGTGATTAATATTCCATTGTATGTATATAGCACCTTTCGCTTATCCATTTATCCACTGACAGACACTTGGGTTGCTTCCTTGTTTAAGCTATTGTAAATAATGCTGCTTTGAACATGGATGTACAAATATCTCTTCGAGATCTTGTTTTTGATTATTTCGGGTATGTACCTGGAGGTTATTATGCTGGATCATATGATAATTCTATTTGGAATTATTTGTGCAACCACCATCCTATTTTCCATAGTGGCTGCACACCATTTTACATTCCCTATCGACAGTGCACAAAGGTTCCAATTTCTTCACCATTATTTGTTATTATATATGGTGGAAAATTTTTTGGCCAAAGAAAGAAAAAACCTAACTGAATTTTCTTTAGCATTAGTTTTGGAAATATTACAAAAATACAACATGATTTTTTGGGAGATTTTAACTTGAAACTGTTGGATATTTCAGGGAATTTTGTTCCACAGTCTGTACACAAAATAATGGGAAGGCTACAAGCTTTCATTGGTGTCAGATAATACTGGCAAAAAATAGTCATTTTCCATTTGTCTTGTCAATTTGTCTTCATTTTTATGATATCTCATCTTTGTACTCACCATGTCACTTTCCAATTCCATCATTTTCCGGTGTAGAGCGGCCTCTGCTCCTTCAATTTGCTGGATCCACTAAGCGAGACAAAAGTGTTGGGCATGATTGTTTAACATGGTGTATGTCGTGCTGCCTACTGAGGTGCTTAGTCTCTTCCTCTTACAACTCTGGAAGCAGACTAAGAACTAATGTAAAAACTTGGTGCATTTTATCTCTTAGTTCAGAGACAAGACTAGTTTTCTATTCATTCATTCATTCCTCTAACAAATGCATTCATTGATGCCTGACATGTTAGGCAATGTGCCAGGTACTAAGGTTCTGATGGCAACTGTCCCATTTTTGCCCACCAACATGTTTTTGCCCTCATTGGAAGATACCACAGAAGGCTTTCTTGGAAGTGACAATTGCACTGGAATCTGAAAAATGAGTCAGAGATGATTAGGCAAAAATGAGGAACAAGTTCCAACCAGAAAGGATGTCCAATTCTCCATGGTTGGCAAGAGCATGATGAAAGAAAGAAAAGCCAGGTTAGACTGGAAAAATGGCACTTTTTTTTTTTTTTTTAGTATATAAAACAGATCACAGCTCAGTATTGAAGAATCATTTTTGTTGAGTAGAGACATTTTAAATCACATTAAAAGACTTAGAATTTTCTCTAACACTTAAAATATATCATTCTGTCATATGGCATTAATGTTAGCATTGATCAATACTCCGAATAAATTTAGACTCTGAATATGATGGTTTGAGCCTGCCATATATATGACTTAATAGAACAAATACTTATACTGAGTCTCTACCAAGTTGAACATCAGCTTATCTCTTCAGACGGCAATTGAACATAATAAAGTGTGTGGGTTCTAGAGGCAGACTGCTTTGGATCTAATCCCAATTCTAGTTTTTCCTGGCTGTGTAACCTTGAAAAGTCACCTGATTTCTTTAAACCTCAACTTTCTTATCTGTAAAATAGGGTTAAGAATAATGTGAAGATTAAAAGATGTATTTCATGTAGCTAGGGAGTAGATATTTTAAAATAGCAAATCCCAGATATCATTTCATATGTAAATGCTTATGAGGCCTTTATTAAAAAAATAAAAATAAAAAACATAGCAAGGCCATTTCCACACTTTGCAAAATTAACATTAATTCTTTTTGTTGTCTGATACCTGGTTCATATTAAAATTTCCCCAGTTGTCAGCAAAATGCCCTTTCCACACTGGGCTTGTTTGAATCAGAATGACGAAAAGGATCATTTCAGTATTTAAATACATTCTTATTTTACAGCAGTCCTTTCCTCTCCCTCTGCCATTTTTTTTGTTTGTTTTTGTTTTTGTTTTTTGAAGTCATTGTTTTGTTTAAGTAACTTAACTGGCTCTTCTGACCTGTAAAATTCCCTCATTTCAGACTGAATTAAGCTGATTGTTCACAGTTTCATTTAATTTATAACAAGCTTTTTATGTATTTAGGAATTAAGAAAGCATCTCGACGAGAACTTATACAGTTCTCATTTATCTAGCCATACATACATGACTCTCAACTATGTACCGATTCTCAAGGCACTTCAAATACAAGCCAGTTATCGCGCTTCTCCACTGGGTTCTTTCCTCCTCATTCTTCCTGCCATTTACCGGGTTTAGACACAAGGGGGCCAAAGCACACTGTAGTTCTGATAGTCCTCAGGTTGGGCTTTCTGAATGAGGACTGCAGTGAGCCGCCACCAAATCACAGAATCAGCTGGTAATAATCTGTATGTACACACTCAAGGAAAAGCTATGAAAAGAGCCATGCTCCAGTTTACCAGCTCTCAGTTGTTAAAAAGAATACCACAGGCCCAAAATGGCATCACGTGTGCTAAAGCCTATGCTACCAAACCTAAACTTAGTATCTGACCGAACTGCAGTTTAGACCTTCACCAGAAATGTAATCTTAATCAACCAGAGAGGGGATTTTCTGGTCAGCACCGATGAGGTCATCTGTTACTTGGGCTCTTCTCCATCCCTCATAAGAAGAAGAGGCAATCTATATCATGAAACTTTTGCTAGTCTCTCTCCATACCCCAAAAATATCCCAGCTTAAAAATAATTTTTCTTTTGCTAATGGCTCCTTTGCCCCACCCTTCTCCCTATAAAAACCTTCCTTTGTACTACCCCTAGGAACACCCTTCTAGTTGCTAGATGAGATGCTGCCCAGTTCATGAATCACTTAATAAAGCCAATTAGATCTTCAAATTTACCCGGCTAAATTTTGTTCTAACAAAACTCTTCTTTATTGGTTTTCCAGCTTGGTAGGGATTGCTTGGATAATGTAATTTAGAAGGTTTCCCATTTCTTAAGAATTACGTTTTTAAGAGACTTCAAAGCAAGAATTACCCACCCATCCTAACTCAGTGTGTAGACTTTTTTTGTATGTATTCTCATTTTATCTGAGTTGTATCGCCCTGAAAAATAAAATTTTATTAGGTATTCAATAACGCAAAGTCGTGTGCAAAGACAATGTCCTTTAACCCTACCCTGCTCTTTAGCCAGATACTGAGATGATTTGAATGTTAGTATAACTTATTACCTTCTCAGCCAGGGACAACACAGTGCTGGCCTGGATTATGGCCACTTGTTCTTCATTTCTCAAATTCTGTGAAAAAGAAAGAAAGAAAGAAAATAACCTGAAGGTACTTATGATATTTACACTATCAGAAAATATTGCCTAAGTGCCTGCCACAGACACTACTGCATAAATATGTACAAACTACTGCATAAATATGTACGAAATCTTAACATTCTATTTAGTAATAATTCTTAACCAAGAGTTCATTCAAAACCTATAAAAGTATAGTTACTTTTTTATATCTCCCTAATACTGACTTGATTTTGTTTCACTATAAGCATACTTCATCAATAGTGATGTTATGAGAAAAGCAGAAATCAAAATGAAAAAATGCATAATCTCTTCATAGCAGTTTGATGTGAAATAACTGATTCCCTTCTCTCCTTTGATAATCCTTCAAGACGATAAAATGGTGCGACTCCTTTGACCTACATGCATCATTCATCTAATAGCTCAATGAATTGTCCTTCCACTGAATTACTATGCCTTGATTCTGCCTGGAAGGTGTTTTTAGAAAAAAAAGGGATTATAGTTTCCTGGTCCACCTTCATGGGGCTTCCACCAACCCTTCTATTTAGCAGCATTTGCAACTGCATGACTGATTAATTTCACGCTGGATGCTTTCAAGCAGCAGTCAGAAGGTAATTAGCTTCAATCACTGCAGACCTGCTTGGCATTCAAATCTCAAACCTGCTCAAGAAAAGCACTACTAGTTCTCATTCTTGCCACCTTCCAGAGATCCTTATAACCCTTTAGTCAGGTTGTTTGATAAACTGTTGATTCTCTCCATGGAGCTACATCCTTCAGCAAACATGGCCTTCCACCTGATATTATTTTATACATGATACACTGGCAAATATTTCTTGCCTCTCGTTAGGCAAATTTATACCTTTACTGCACTAATTTGATACTTACTCCATTATCACCCAAGATATCAAGCTGCTTTATGAGATCCGGGATGTTCACATCCTGCAAAATCAAGGAGATACATTCAAGTCAAAGACATAAATGTGGCCTAACATTCATTCAGTGCCTGAATCCTAAGTTAGAGAAGACATTTTAGAGCCTTGAGTAATTTTTGAGTTGTTTTCAATCAGGCACACCTGGTTTTAAGTTTCCACTGTGCTTATAAGCTACATGAACTTGAGAAAACTACTAAACAGTTCTTTCTCAATTTCACCAGTTGCAAAATGGAGATAATAAGTACATTCTTCATAGGCTGATCTTGCGGATAAAGAGATTGTGTACAAGAGTCTAGGATGTAGGAAGGATTCAAATTAGCTCATTTTTTTCCTTCTAGTTATCAATTTTTTTCAATATGGTAGATTTCAGGTATAAAGAAAAGTAATAGGTAATAAATATCAATAATCAACCAATTTCATTCTAATTAATGGAATTCTGACCAGGTTGAGATTTTGATTGCCACCTAGAAAACTATAGTGCAGTTCCATTTTTTAGGTGTTCAGCATTAATTTCATCCTATGGAAAATAGCTGATTTTTACTATATTCCTTGAATCAGTTTAAAGCAGCTGAACTCCAGTTGAATGAGTTCCCTTGGATAAAAATTACATCCATTCAATTAGGTTGTTTATGATTTATCTAAAAAAAAACCATCTAAGGAAAAGAGGAAGTACAGTGTTTTTCATTAAATTAGAATTAAAAAAATGGCTTTGGTTTACAACTTTTCATGCAGCCCAAAAAGGCCAAGAGTTTAAACACCATGGATGTGGTTTGAGATGAAAAACAAGGAAGCACAATTTTACTACTTAATTTTTCCCTCATCACTTTTTACTTCATTATTACCACTTTCTCCTCCAATTTCAAATGCAATATAGTATTCCCCTACCATCAGGAAGGGGAAAGTCTGAAGCTCAAACTCATAGGTAGAGAGAAGGCAACTGAAGCAGGTATATTTGGCAGCTCAGAGTGGGAGCAGGAAAGGCCATGCAGAAGGTAAAGGAGAGACCAGGAAGAGCAGGAGGCTTCCCAGCTTTACCTCTGGAATAGATATTCACCATGTGGTTTCATTATATTGAAGGACAATGTATTTTCCAGGAGATGGAGCCACCTCCATTCAACTTTATTATTTAAAATGTATTCCAATATCACTACAGATAAAATTATATTTTGTCTAAGTGAGCAACATGTTATAAACTATAAGTTCTTCCAAAAGAGAAATCCTCCCTAAATTAAACATATCTAGATATCAAGGTCTCTTATAAATGCTGAAATTCCAAGGTTACGAATTCCATAGCACTTAGAACAGCAAAACAAAGAGATTCAACAAATACTTTTTTATCTGGCATACTTGAAATATGTTTCTTGTAATACTGAATTTATTTGACATTTCCTCTCGATCATTAAAGGTAATGGTTATGATGTATATTTTGATTCTATATCATTCTTTATGTTACTCTGTTCTACATAATCATGGTTTCCTGTGTTCTTTGCTGTTATCATTCAAACATCTGTCACACGTTTATTTTGTTTATGCTCTACTGATTTTCCAATAGATGTGACTATTTTCAATTCCTGCATAGTTTCTATCAAAATGATATCCGGAGACTAAAAGACAAAACAATCATGAGCAACCTCACCTTTCCAATTCTGTTTTTCTACTTTCTAAAAATAAAGAAATTAAATATCTGCCTACCTTGACACCTTCTTTCATACAGTAGATCTGTAGAGCACTCACACCATCTGAGAATGGGTGAATTTGTAGATTAAATGGAGGAGATCGTCTCTCTCTTTCCTTGAAATACAGTGAAAAATATATGGGAATTAAAACAAAAGCAACAACTGATTAAACACTAAACCAGTTGTCTGTGTTCTCTCTTTATGCTATTTCAGCAGTTTATAAATATGACATTTTGCAAAAAAAAAAAAAAGAACTCAAGATGTTCATGCTTAAATTTAATGGAAAGAACTGATTAGTCAACTAAGAGGTATGAGAGAGAATTTATAGATTGGTGTCATCCAATCTTGCAAACTTTTTGATCAGGGAAATGTGGGAAGTGGAGTTCTAATGCAAACTATATGAATATTTAGAGCTTTCAGGCATCACAAATTGTGATCTTTTGACAATGAAGTCTTGTGGCAGGTAACATCTTTTGCATATGCAATCCGCTCAAGCTTTATGAATAAGATATGTGGGCTACCAAAGATAACTTCTTCACTAAAGCATACCAACTGCCAACTCTATCCAGACCTAATTTGAAAAACCTCAAGAAGAAATTGCTGGCAAAATAACAGAGATATCAAATGGGAATTTTTCTCAACTTTTACATTTCAACATACAACCAACTTAAGCCAGATTCTGCATGATACAATCAGAATCTGATTTGATTTGTATGTTTTACTTAAAACCAACAACAACAACAACAACAACAAAACAAACAAAAAAACCAAATCAATTCTGAAATTTGGTCAGATTAACCAAAATATTTCCTAAACAAGTTGCCTTATTTAGCTTTTGGCATAAATGCACTATAGACTAAAATGCTGACTTCCAAATCCAAGTGTCTAATGATAAAATATTTTTGTATATAGCATATTTTAAAATGTAATCTTTGAGGTGACATTTTTATAAGTCAGAATTCAAAGATGGGTGAAAATGATTATTTAAAAGAAATAAAATATTGATAAAGTTTGAAATCTCTTAAATTATTTAAAAAGTATTCATTAGTCTTGTTCATAAAGGCAATAATAGTGTTGAAAAGTACAGTATCTGAGCAGACAATTCTGAGTTGCATCAATGTTTTACCAGTTACAAGACATAGGACTTAGCCAAGTTATTGAACCTCAGTTGTTTCATGTATAAAATCTTGATTGTGATTGTGAGATCCAATGAGAATATGCATCAGAAATGCTTAATCCAGCATCTCACACATAGAATGTGTCCAATGTACGTTAATTGTTATGATTATCATCATCATTATTATTATTGTTTCCTTACTTCTAGCTCTAGGTTTCGAAACTCCAGCAGCTCATTCTGGTCTCTGGCATCCTGCAGTTCCTGTTGTAACCGGTGATTTTCTGCCTCCTGTTTTTCTATCTAATAAAGTAAATCCTCAAATTAGGTGAATATTGCAAGTACAACTTTGCAAAGCAAGCATGGATAGTGTTCATTTACTCTGTGAATACATCATCTTGACCATGAAAAATCCCAAGTAGACGTGAAAAAGACAAGTCTTTAGCGGCTTTCCTTCTAGGTATCTTTCGGTTAAGTTTTTTGGCTCATAGAGGAAAATGCCAGAGGACACCTCCATTTGTTGACATAAAGTTGAGAGAATAGCAAATCTAAGCATAGTCACTATGCCCTTGCTGTGGGTCAGGGACTGTGCCCTAGAACTAGATCCAATGGTGTAAATAACGGAGTCTGACACCTCTTATTTTTGGAGTTACAAGTTGTCAGAGGAATAATTTTTTACAAACAGCTCTGATCATGTACAAAGCTTGGCTGAAATTCCAGTTACCCACAGAGTAAAGCCAAACTCTTTCATATGGAAATCAAAAACTTTAATAAATCTGGTCACCATGTAGCTTTCTGGTTTTAAAGGTTATCACTGTTGTCTCTACACACTCATGTGATCACACACACACCAGAGTCTAGAAACCCAGACCTCGCCTATGGACTGGTGACTTCAAGAGCTGTCTTTGTTCACCTCTCTGCCTGAAAAGGACCCTTCATTTTCCTTTTCTAGGTGAGGAAATTCTACACTTCCTTCAACACTAAGCTCTGACATCTCCTACCATAAGAGGCTTCCTTGTCCACTCATTCAGAGGTGACACTTCTTCCGTCTGTTTACCTATAAGGCTCACCTATAGGACCTCTATAGGTGAAGTATGAAATCAAGTTCATACTTCTTGATGAAGTATGAAATCAAGTTCGCTGTGTACAGACATGCTTTGCCCTATATACAGGGTCCATGTCTACAAGGGATCAACAAATTTTCATGATCTGCAAAAGGTTTGGGGCTGCCTTTGATATCAGCTGTGTTAGTGGGCCTTATTGCACAGTAACTATTTAAAATCTTGATTTTAGAATTTAAAAAACATGGGAGCTTTTTAGCATAGGATGAATTTTACTTTCCCAAGTACACACACTTGAAGCAGGATGTTTTGCTTTGTCATTCGGTTTTCTTTCAAAAGCTGAGCTCAAAATTCCACTTTTAGCCCAAAGAAATGAAGACCAAAAAGAATCAGACAGAAGACATAATGAAAATTATGTTTTTAGTTGGTAAAGAGATGTAATTACACTTACTACTGGGCATCGCTGAGACTACTAAAATCCTTTTTTTGTAGCCTCATAAGATAGAAAAGTGATAGGAAAATAAAGGTGGGGAGATAGTGAAATATTATGTAACACTAATTAATGTAGTCAACTCAAGATTTTTACACTAATTTTTTAGAAGTTGACTTAGATCACAAAAGAGATTCTATTTCCTAGCATCTTGGATTGGAATCAAAGATGGGATGTCTGGGGAGATTCCTGGTTCTAGTGGTTAGTGCTAGCAATTAGATTGGTGGTTTACAAGTTGTAATTCATAGTCCAGGGCCAATGTCCGATGAAGTTTCTTTCTAGGAACTCTTCACCTTTCTGGGTACCAGTTCTCGGTCCAGGAATATTCGCTCGCCCACTTTCTATGTATCAAGTCTGTCTCTCATCATGCAGAAAGTGAGATAGGGTGTTCTAACTTAGCCAGATCAGAGAGGAGGGAGGTCAAGTATCTTTTCTCTCTTCTCATGCTTATAAGAGTGTTGTGGTTCATTTTTATTTCTTGTCAAGGCTAGTGAACACTGGTAGAAATAATCCTAAAATAATTTCTACATACTCTGGGATTGACCTATAGAATTATTTTCTTTATTCATATGGACTTTCAAATTCATTTTTGTCAATAATATATGATTATTTTGTAATGTTTTCACTAGATTTGTGGAAGGCAAATACTATAGGAATAGCAGCCTCTGACCTTAAAATAATCTCTGCTGTATTTCATTGCCTTAAATCAAAAACCTATGTTCAGATAAGCAAAATTAATTATATCTATTGGGACTAAACCACTCTTTTGCATCTTGATTTGTTGAACAAAATCCTGGACATGCTGTTTCGTGCTTTCTTTTATTTAAAAAAAAAAAATACATGTATATAAACAGCGAAGCTTAGAAAAAAGATTAAAAGTGAGAACATGGCCTACGCTAGGTTGCGGCATGATCTTGGAATCATACTCTGTCACTTCTCTGCACAAAATAACAAGTCTTGTTCACAGTGTTTTTTATAGATGGACGATCACATAGGATGTGTGCACAGGTGGGTGTATATATATATACAGTACATATACAGTATATATATATGGTTAACAAATCAATAGGTTTCAGGGATCACATCCTTTTAAAAGTCGGCACAATGCCCAGCACAGAGCCATGCACACGTGCCACTTCACTGATGGTGATGGCGGTGACAGGGATGCAGTTGAGCACGCAGCAGAGGAGAGTGCAGTGCCGAAAAGCCTCCCCTTCCCCTAGCCCCTGTGCCACTCCTGAGAGGACCCCCTGCTGCTCCTGGATCTCTCATCGATTTCTCCTCTGCCCCACTAGGGTGTTGCCCAACATACCTTTTCTAAAAGCTCCTGGTTTCTCTTAATGAAAAGTTGTTTATCTTCTACCCAGTGTGAATCCTGTTTGACAAAGAATATCGCGCAGTCAGCATTTCAGAGTGGCACGAAAGAGCATGTGTCGTCTAACCACTTTGCCAGAACTGTCTTCTTTCCACCTAGTTTGTTTGCCTGCCAACACCTGGTAAATGACACCCACCCCTGCCAGTTCCTTATTCAAAGACATTGGGGCCGAAGTTGCCAGGAAAATTTAACCCCCTTTTTATTGTCACTCACTAGCTCTACCTTTTTCAGTCTGAATAATCCAGGACCAGCCTTCTGGGGACTCAGAAGTGACCACACAGGCAAAAAGTGACAAGGGTCAGAATGCACACAGGCTAGATACATATGGATGGAAAACATTAAAATGCAGAACCATAAATGTAGCATAGAGGCAAAGAATGCAGCTGGAGGGGTGGGTCTTTGTCTTAGCAGTTTAAAACCACTCTAGGCTACTTGTATAGGGCTCTTCTTCCTCTTGCCCAACCTCATTCGCTGTTGTAGCTGGGTTCACGCTCTGGCCAGAAAAACACCAGGGACAGAAACATAGAATTGAACATTCTGACACTGTTTGAGAAAGGTCACTGTGGAGAGCCAAGCCGTGTCCTGGATGCGGCCCATGCACAGGGTAATCTAGAGGAAGGTCAGATCAAATCGCCTGCATCTGCAGAAGTACCAGCGACCAAATGCCTACCTGTCCTTTCTGAGCCAGAGTCGCTTCCAGATCTTCAATTTTGGCTTTATACCTGAGCACTTCTGCTTGGAGTTGTTCTTGAGCCTAGTGAAATCAAAATTCCAGAGCTCAGTAAATGAAATGCGAAGTCAATATTTTTCTTCCCTTCATCTTCCTGGATTAGAACTCCACAAGCAAAAAAAGAAAATAATAATAATAATAATAATAATAATAATAATAATAATAATAATAAATAATAATAATAATAATAAATAAATAAATAAGGGAGAATAATTTTCTATGACCGGAGAATCTCCTAAAACTATTTTTATGATTTAAATTCTTGCTTACAACTTTCAGTGCTTTCTTTCACCACTAGGCTAAAATTCAAACTCTTTAGCTTGGGATTTGAAAACTCTCATTAGATTTCCAATCTTTTCCCACTACTCATCAACACAGAGTCCACCCCTTATCTGCTGGTGATCTTGTTTCCTAAATACACCTGGAACTCTCCACTTCTCTCTTGTTTGAACGAGCTCCCCAATAGAAAGCCTTCTCCCATTTTGCCTCTCCAAAATCTTTCCATTCTTCCAGAGCCAACTTTGTGCCCTAAATCTATATCTAAATCCAAATCTATATTATGCATGTATGTATTGATCGTGTATGCGTGTAAATAGTTTTGGACACTGATCTTTTATGGAGCGACTCTACTTCATTTAGTCCAGTAATTTGTTCTTAGATTCTCTTTTATTCTCTCTATATGTGCAATCTTATTTTCTGTGAAAAATTTTTTTTTTGTTTTCTGCCTATTCACATATTTTTCTCTTGTCTTATGATCTAGGTAGGTAGGTTCTTTGCTACAAAGTTGAATAAAATCAGCAAAGTCTGGTATCCTTTTCTTATTCTTTCTTGTGAGCAGAATATTTCTTTGGACTGTTAAACATTATATTTCTCTTCATCAGGATAAAAAGATTCCAAATTTAATTCTGCTAAGAATTATTTCAACTTTGAATGGATTTTAAGTATAATTTATTTTTTTCTTGTATTGAAAGGACTATATCTTTTGTTTTCATTGATGCTCTTTCATCTATATTATCTGTTTTCCATTTCTACTTCTTTCAATATACTCAATTGTTCTTTTTCTAACATCTTCATTTGTTTTAGACTATTTCGCTTAGAATGGTAAGGTTTTTTTAAAAAAATACTTTAATGGCCAAAGATAGTGCTAAACTTTTATTTAGATGGGAAAGTGAGACGAGAGAAAGAGAACCGGTTCCTACAGCATCACCACGCCAGAACATAAGGCATATGCTATTATTTTAATTGACCAATCCTATGTTATAAGAATGCTTAGTAAATGCTGATAATGAAAGCCACACTATTAATTTTAGGGCACAAACATGAAGGCACGCACATACATCCCTTCCTACTGATTGCTTGCCTTTTTATTCTAAATCACAGTGCTTTTTAAAAACATCTTTACTCAAATATATGTATATGCATGTATGTATACATGCTACTACTTAAAATTCATAGCTATAATATTTATTCTTTTCCACTAAACAACTAATAGTAGTTCTTACGACAATCTTCAGCATACTATAGACCATCTAAACAGGAAGTAGGATAAAATCACTAGGTGGGCACACTCCTTCTTGCCCCTTATATATTAATCTAACGGGCAGTTATGGCATGGTGGTTATGACTAAACTCAGAACGACTAGGTTCATATCCCAGCTTTAATCCAAGTTTTAAGGTAACTAATCTATATTTAACTCCTACTAAGATATTATTTCCTCTCCTATAAAAAGAAGATAACAGTATCTAAATCATAGGGTTGTTTTAGATTTACATGAGATAAATGTATGTAAAGTGCTCAGCACAATGTCTGGAGCACAGAAAGCACTCAATAAACAAAGAGAGAGAGAGAGAGAGAGAGAATGTGTGTGTTTCGAAATAGGCTTATGAGAGGCAGTTGTAACATAATGGAGAAAACATTTGACCCACTAAGACTTGAGTTTGAATCTCAGTTTCCCATTAATTATCCTGCGTGATCTTGGGCAATTCAATTACCCTCTGAGCCTCAAATTCCTCTACTGTAAAATATCTGCATATCTGCAAGGGTTAAATAAGATACTGTCAGTGAAAATTCTTGGTATGCTGTCAATGTAGTGTTATGCACTTATTAACTAAGAAAAGAAAAAGGCTAATCATTGATTTTGAAAGATAACTTTTTTTCAAGCAAGAAACTGAAAAAAAAAAGGATTATAAAAATTCAATATTGTCTAGCTTTGAAAATGTTTGTTTTCAAATAGCAAGTTATTCAACTATCTAAAAGGAACAAAAGCATCGATCTAAGCCAGATCTAATGTCTCTAGATCCAAGGTTTGTTGACATAAAAGATACAACAGTTCAAAAGCCACAGTGAAGAAAAGGGTACATGGAAAGCTACCCTATTGATATATTTATGTCCCTGGCACTTCTATGCTGTGACCACTGCACAAAAAAGCCTATTCCGAGCACTCCGTGCAGACGCACACTGACCTTGGCCTCTCTTTCAGCATCGATGATGCCTCCAGTCTGCTCCTGCAGGAGGGCATACGCTCTTTGGAGGGCCTGATATTCTTTTGTTAATTGTCGAAATCGCAGCTCAGATTCTTCAGCTGCCAAACTCTTGAGGTGAACAAAGGAAAAGGCCAAAAAATAATTATGTTATGTTCAAGTCCAGTGTTCAGTGTGAAATACTAATATTTGTCCACTTTTTAAAGAGAAATTAAAGATTTATTTGATTATGGATTCTGTGCGATTTTATTCTTGATTCTAAAGTATGTGGATAAACACAAGTTTTGTAAATCAAGATAAACATCGTGGAACTATTTACATATTTGTTTTTAAAAAAGAAGCATTTGTTTATTTACATATTTCTTATTATTATCCATTTGGGATTGGGTTATAGTCAATTTTGGTTCCAAATAAGAAAAACTTACACCCTGATGATGACAGATCTAAATATGAAGAAATGATATTCAGAGTTTTAGTCTCACTTTTTTTCAATACATTCATATCCAACAACTTCTTCCCTAGATAATTATGGAAAACATAGTTTTACAGCGTAAGGTCTCAACCTTCAGAGCATAATACAATCACCAGGGAGTTTTGTGAAAAATGCAGATTTTGGAGTTCCACCCCCAAGATCCTGAGTCAGGAGTTGTGCGGTAGAGTCCAGGAATTTTCAGTGCAATTGAACTCCCTCGATGATTCTGATGAATGAAGGAGGTCTACAGAGCACGTTTTGCTTAATACTGTCTAAAACTACATCTAAAAGCTTGTTCTTCTGATTCTTCATCTAGGGAAGGTGTGAACCAAGGAACAAGCTTAGAAGAACAAGCTTTTAGATTTTTGAAAGAAGTCTCTTCAAGTTACAGAGCTGAACTTCAGAGAAGTTTCTAAAAGGGCTACATGACGTGGGTGAACTATTTTCACTCAATCTTAGCCAAAAGGCTGAGAAGTGATGAGTGAACTACATTCTAAAAGGTAACAAAATCAAGCATGGTCAAAAATTGGTCACTATTAAGAGATCACTTTGTGCAGTCATAAAGGAGATAAAAGGGAAATGCTTTTTCTTCCTCTTAAAGGAAAGATTTCGTGACACTATCAGAAAAGTCTTGAGAAGTGGAAAAGCTTACTTCATCCAAGTCATCATCAGGAGTAGCTGGTGTTCGGTCTGTTCTAAATGAGGCCATGGATGACGTCTCTGAATCCATGGAGTCCTCATCATAGCCAATAAATGGGTCCAAAACAGGCCTCTAATGGAGGGAAAGTACATATTTACTGACACAAGTAAAAGTGGGGAAAGTTGATATTATTAAAGCACTGTCAACTGGCATAGATGCAAATGAATATAAAATCACAGACACTTTAATGCTTCTTTGATGAAATAAGAATATGGATACAAACATAGTAATTCCAATAAATGTTTGTCCTGTATTATTTCATTTCTAGTGTTTTTTTTTTTTTTCTGGAAGATTCATTAATATTGACCCTCTTCATAGAAGCACTGGAGTTTCTTGTGTTACATTTTCTATCACAACGAGTTTATGTGATTTACTATTTCCAGTATCTAAAATATAATCAAGGGACTCTGAAAGTCTAGGCATCTATGTAAAGAGAATTATCAAATCTTAAGTCTTATCATATAATTTTACATCCAAATCAAATAATGTACTTGATACAGACAAAAATCGAATGAATAGACAAATTAAATAATAAAACTTTGTGGATTATAAGAGGTTGTATAGATATTGGTGAATTGGGAATATAATTATCAATAATACTGTCCAAGTGAATAATAAAAATATATTAAACAATTATAGGATGGGTATCAGATGCTAGCATTATTCAGTGAGAGACATCAAATCACGTGTGTCACTTTCATGTTCTTGGAATGTGACTCTCCAACTTGTCAGATAACCCATTCTACATCAAACCTAGTGGCTTCTTCACTCACAGAAAGTCATATTAAAGCAAATCCTTTCAAGTTAAAAAGCGCAGTCATCTTTGGACTTCTGAGAACTGTGGAGAGTTTCCTCTAGTAAATAAAGCCCACGATTTGCTGTAGGTCAGGAATATCTGAGTTATTGTATCTTTGCAGGAAGATTCCTTGGCATGCCTCACTTCTCTGGCTGTTTGTGGCAAATGCCTGATAATCTAGTTTCCTCATTACCTTAATTGGCTTGGAACTTCTTCTATGCTTTCTCCTGCGGATGAGCTTTTCTCGGTCCTGGAAAACAGAAGAAGCACTTTTCAGATCTTGAATTGGTACATTTTTCCTTATAGATTTGTTTGTTTGTTCATTTGTTTTACAGAGAGTTGTTTTTTCCCCTGAGGCATTACACATTTCTATTTAAAATAAGATTATGTTTTGTAAATTTTAGCAACTTTTGAGTTGGATACTTTAATATATTTGAAGTAAGAAAATTCTACAACTTTTCCTGATAATCTGTGTGGGTCTGAAATCCTCATGATCAGGAAGTGCATTGTATTTCTAATCAGAATCCTTTGTTTTATACTTGAAGATCAAGTAGCTTTGAAAATAGTTACTTACATTATCCAAAGTGCAATTCTTCAGTTTTCTCAGACCCAAAATTACTTTAAATGTCAGTGTTAAAAAACTATTAATTCACAATAAAGTAAAACTTTATTCTTTTCATTTAACCACTTGAAATGCATAGAAACTTATCTTTTGACTATCCTTGGATCCTTGTTCTTACCTGCAGCCTCTGAAGGTGGGAATGGAGTATCTATCTACCTGGTCGAAATCATCTGGTGTTTTTTTTTTGGAGGGGGGGCTGTTGGAAATTTCTGGGAAATTCAAGAATATCTAGAAATAATAATGTCTCAATTCATTCTTGTTGTGAATGAAGATACCCTCAGAATTTGGTATTCATTTGCTAAAGTACTTCATATATTTACTGCACAAATTCAAAGGTCAATGAAATAAGGGACACTTGTACCTCTCTGAAAATCTGGTTGAAGTGCCTAAACATGTCAAAATTCCATAAGAAACTTTTAGCTTAAACTCAAGATCCTTAAAGCCAAACAAATTCCTGAACTAGTGAATCTGTGAGATTTATGAGTTTTTAAGGGAACAGAAGTGAAGTGAGGGCCACAGCACTTCAGGAAGCCATGACTGATAAATAATCTGGTTTAAGCCAATGGTGTTCACCTTTTTGATTACTCATCTTTATTAAGTAAATAAAAGTATTTTGGTCATGCAACCTCAATATACCTACAACTTAAAACTTATGCTTAGATTACCTTCCTAATACAGTATATGCATCATAATATATATCCCAAATAGAAAATTTTAAAAGGGTAAACCATCAATAATTATAAACAGAAGTTATACTCTTTTCTTCCCTCAATAGTAATAAATCATCTTGCTCACCTTACTCTGGAGACTATTGCCTAAAACCCCTCATCACTAGTTCTTCAACTGTCTAGGCCTTGGTTTGGTCCTGAACCGAGAACGAACAGAGATGCCATTCACAGAATAAAGGCAGAAAGGCAAAGAGGAAGCTCCTAGGCACTGAAGGTCTTGGTCCACAACTGCTGGGAACACAGACTTCAGTTGGAAGCCAATGGGAGTAATGCCTGCTCCACCTACTTCACCAGGTACCAAAGTAACGGTCAGAAGATCTGGACCGGGATTTCAGCTCTGTCATGTACTTATGATGTTACTGTTTATTCAGCAAATATTTATTAAACGGCAACTATATTCTAGACACTGAATTAGGTGTTGGGAAATAAGAAGCATATGGTCCTGTTATTGTAAGCAAAATATTCAACCTCTGAGTCTGAGTCTTGATACTGGAAGTCAATAATAAGACATACCTATATTTCCTACTTACTCACATTATTATGCATTTGGAATTTCTTTTAATGTGCTTTGTGGCTATTATTTGTGCTACAAAATTAATTAACAAATTGATTTATTATAATTACTAATAACCAGATAATAACTGAAAAAGTTAAAAACAGTTTAATAATATAAAGTATTTTTGGAATAGTCTCTTGCACCTGTTTACATATGGGACACATGAACTTGAGCCTTTAGGGCTGATCCAAACTAATTATGTGCTTCCTGTGTATGTCGATGTCTTGGCTGCCTGTCCTTGGGAACAACTTAGAGTTTGTAGGTTGATCAAGACCTACCCTGGTGAGCTCATCAATAATGTTCTGTTGTTCGATGACCTGAAGTTTCAGAAACTCTGTCTCTTGTTCTTCATTGGCTTGATCGAGGTCATTCAGAGATTTTAATTTCTTCAAGGGTGGGTGGGATGTTATTTTTTCTCTCTAGATTAGAAAAGAAGTATAGGTGGAGATTTAAAAAATCCTAAACTTTAGTGGTTAACATCAAATATCTGTAGACACTTCATGAGGCTCCAGCTAAATTTGAAAACTGCCCAGCTTTAATGCACACAGAGCCCAATTAAAATCCTCCAGCACATTTTATCTGCTGTAAGTGAAATCACTGGCAATGTCTGAAGATCATTACAGCTGTAGTGAAAGTCTGTTAAGAAGTGCATTAGCAGAGCACTTATCCATACATAATACAAAATATGGCATCTAGTTCCCAACTATTATGCAAGCTCTTAGAAGATGAGGGACACCCACTGTACAGTTCTGTAAAGAGCATGTTAGTGAAATTCTTGGAAGGAGGTGTCTGTGGCTGAGGAGCTATGTTGGAACTTTGCTTCCATATTTCAGGTCTTTTGGAGAGTGTACAGATTCCTGGAAGCACTCCTATTGTTCTGCAAATTTAGAAATTCCATAAAATTCAGAGCCAGCAACCTTCTTTTGCTTTTTTCCTTAAAGGTTCCTTGCTTACATAAGGGAAAATCCAAACTTTCATAAATTGCATTGTATTTTAAAGAAGAAAACAACTGAGAAAGAGCGATAAGTCAGGTGATTGGTATAACATAAAAAAGGCAGCTGTAGTTTTGCAGAGTCTGTGATACACACCATTTCTGAATTTTCCTTGGTGACGGCTTTTAGTTTCTCTTCCATGCGCTGCAAAGACAGCATCAGCTCATCGTTTCTCTTGGCCAGGCACTTGTTCCTTTCCAGAAGAGGTTTACACTGTTTTTCGGTTTCCCTCACACGTTTTAACTGGGAAGACACAAGTTACAGTTTCCTCTAATGGCTTTTCATCATACTCTTCACGACCCTCTATCAATCTATTATTAACGTAAAGGAGGTGCCGCTGAGATTATGCTTTTGGAGATGCTCAGCAGGAGTAATTAGTTGCACTCTTTGTTCCCCACTGACTTTTCCAGCCCAGTTACCTTGCCCTGCTCAGCCCCCATCCCACGCTGCTCACACTTCTCCCCGGGCCTCGTTGGCTCAAAGACATAAAGCAACTCATTGGAATCACATGGTCACATTTTCTCACCAAAGACATGTGGCACCATTAACAGCTTAAAAAATGTTAAGAAACAACATAAATGTTCATTAACGATAGAAGAATAAGTATATCGTGGTGTATTAATTGAATACTATAGAGTATGAAAATGAATGAATCCTCCAGGCAACACAATTCCTGGGTTAGGGTTGTCCCCAAAGCCTATTCTTTCCATCAGAGATCTTGCCGAGTTTGACTCACACTATGGCTATTTATTTTAGTTTTATTGAGAAAGATGAAATAAAACAAATTTTACTTTTGAAACTCTATTGATATTTGTGTTTAAGAACATCTAATTTTTGGCAAGCCTCAAGAAAGAACGGTTGCACTGTTACCTACCCATAATTAAGAGTGACCATACTCTGGTCTGCCCAGTTACTCTAAGGCAGGGTTTCTCAGCCTCTGCACTCTAGACACTTGGGGTCAGATATTTTTTGTTGTAAGGAGCTGTCCTGAGTACTATAGGATGTTTAGGAGCATCCCTGGCCCCTAGATGCCAGTAACACCCTCCCAGTTGTCACAACCAAAACAACTTCAGATATTGACAAAATCGCCTCTTGTCGAGAACCACTGGTCTAAAGTTTATGAATGTTATCTTGAGGTAATTGTTAAGAGTCCTTCCCATTTTACATCCCAAACTCTCCCATCTGCATGACATATTTTATGGTCACCCTATACATAGCAGATTTCAATGTTAACCTTCTCATAGTTTAGTTCATTGATTTCACACTAACTGTTCTGAATGTGAGTATGTATTGGGGGAGGGGAACCAAAGCAAGGAGAGTGGAGGGGTGTATCAGAAATGCCTGAAAAGATTCTTTATTCACTCCTGTTTTTGAGAACCTAGCATTTTGGGAAGTGCTGGGGAAGGAAACTTAGCTACCGATGAATATTTGAAAAAGCTTTTCTTGTGATTCTAAAACAGTATTCCCCAACTCCATGCTAATTGCCATTTAAAAAAACCTATTTCAGATTAAAGGCTAAAACTGAATTTGTATTTCATAAATAATTTCATTTAATTCTCATTTTGACCTTCAGTACCTGAAGCATTAATATTAAATACTGAATACATATAAAGTAAATAATTATTCCACTAGGTTCACTATTTTAAATTTTATCTCTTTTCTGGAGATCTATGACAAGGGTTTCAAATATATAAATTTACCTAGTACATGCTATTTACAAAGAAAAGGAAATATCTGTAATTCTAATGTACCATACATCAATAATCACAGTTCCATAGTACCCAACAAAATGTTCCTTTTAAAAGACATACTTTAAATACAATAGAGAAAGGTTGAAAGTTATATATTTTCATGGGACCACTAAAGGAAAAAAATCTGATGTAATTCAACTAATATTAGACAAAGATTTTAACTAAAGTATTACTAGAGATAAAAAAGAATTTCGTAATGATAAAAGGGTCACTACACCAAAAACATATAACAAATCTTAATTTGTATACACCTAGTACCATAACTTTTAAATATATAAAGTAAAATTGACAGAACTAAGAATGGAAATGGACACATTTGTTGGGAGAACAAGCCGACAAAAATATCAGTGAGGATATAGAAGATTTTAAACAAGACTATTAATAAACTTGACTCAAACTGCATTTAACAATTGCAGAGTATACCTTCTTTTCATGTGAAAATAGAACATTTCTAAACTAGACTATAAGCTGGTGTTATAAAGCAAGTCTCCACACAATTTAAAGGAATGAAATAATATAAAACATGTTTCGTGACTATAGTAATGCAAAAATCTCAAATGTTTGGAAATTAAGCCATACCCTTCTAAGTAACCTGAAATTTCAAAGAAGAAATTATATGATATTAGAAAAAATTTGAGTTAAATAGCAATACATTAGAACATAAAAAACATGGAATAAAGCTAAATCTTGCTTAGAGAGACATTTATGACATCGAATGCATATTTTGAAAAAAGAAAGGCTGAAAAATAACTTCTTTATACCAAAGCCACCATTAAGAATGTAAAATGTAAGACACAGAGCAGGACCAAAAGATGGTATTTAAAAAATTCCTAATTTTAATAAGAAAATAAAGGCAGTACAAAAGAAAATGGGCCAAATAAAAAAAGCAAAACACACAGGATACCCAAAAGGCCAAGGAATACTTGAAAAATTACTCAAACACATTTTTAAGAAGAATGAAATGAAGATAAAATAAAATGAAATAAATGAAATAAAAATGAAAATCACTATAAAAATATACCTCACATCCATCAAGTTGACTAAAATGAACAATTATCTTTGCGTTTTGGTAAAGATTTGGAGAAACTACAACTCTCATGCATTTATGTTTGGAATGTAAATTGCTATAACAACTGTGGGAAACTTTAGTTCTCTAAACTAACTGAAGCTGACTACATGCATACTCTATGATCCAGTAATTCTGCTCCTTGATATATTCTCACTGGAAATGAACACATTTCCTCACCAAAGACAAGTAGCAGCACCATTAACAGCTTAAAATCGTTAAGAAACAACATACATTTTCATTAACATTAGAAAGATAAGTATAACATGGTGCATTAATCGAATACTATAGAGTATGAAAATGAGTGAATCCTACGGGCAACACAATGAATGACTCTCACAAAAGTAATGCTGAGCAAAAAAAAAAAAAAACAGACATAAAAGAGTAAATACTGTTATCATTCCATTTACAACAAATTTTTAAAAATGGTGTAGACATCTATCTATCATGATAGAAATCAAAACAGTGGTTAATTCTAGAAGGGTGGTAACAGGTAGGGGTCACAAAAGGAGAGGTCTGAGATGCTGGTGACCTTCCACCGGGTGGTGGTTATATGGGTATAGCACATATGCTTCACAAAAAATAAAATAAAATAAAATAAAATAAAAAATTCTGATTAGAACTCACCAATTCATTTCGTTCATCTCCAAGCAAGGTATTTCTGTCTTCTAATTTTCTTATAGTGGCATTCAATTCAGCTATTCTCTTTTGATTTCTTCGCAAATCCTACACATGAAAATTAAAATGTCTATTTCTTCAACAACACTTTTCACAAAGTTTTGGAATACTGCTCATAAAAGTAATAGGCTTAGTTTCTCTCATCTGACTTATGAGGTAAAAGTAAAATGTTCTCTCATTCAGAGAACAGTAAACATTTGCCCTCTTCTAACTCCCAATATTTACCACTTGGGTTTAAGACCAATCCTGGTTAAAACTGCAGATGAATGTCACGTGGCAGATACTCCCTGGAGCCCTGACTCCTGGCAGGGGGCGTGGTAGATAGTTGGATTAGCTTATCATATCTGTGAGCTGTGAGACCATGGCGATGCTGTGATTTCTCCTGGTTTGAAGGGCATCCTTGTGTCGTGGCTGCGCATTGCTGCCCGCAGCTTAGACAGGTGTTCTGCTATCACACTTAGCCAAAGAGGAGATAGAGTATGAGGTAGGAACAGACTTTGTAAATTCCTACATACTCCTGGAGAAAAAGATCAGAGTAAGGGGGCTGGTGCATGACCTTCATGTGTGAAAGGCGGTAGATTAAATATAGCCTTCACTGGCGTGTTTTGCTCAGAGTGACTGGCTTCCCGACCAGCACAGTTGCCATGGATCATCTTACACACAGCAGTCATGGCTTAATTCTATTCTCTAGCTTGCAGGATCATTATTATCATACACTTGCAATTCCATCATCATCTTGAATATTGATAGTGCTGTACTGTTTCACACACATTATATTTCTAGATTCACAATATCCTGGAGGATTCAGCAGAACAGGTAAGAATCAGGGAGCTCATAACTTGCTCAAGGTCTCCTGGCTAATATCAACAGATCAATAGCTAATATGTATTGAATGCTAACTATGTGCCAGAAACTGTCTTCGACATTTCATAGATCATCTCTCCTAAACCTTAGACCAGCCTTAAGCAATACCACTAATGTCTCTTACAGATGAAGAAACTCTGAGCAGTGAAATGATTTGCCTAAGGTCACATCGTAAATGGCAGAGCGAGGATTTGAACCAAAGTATCTGACTCTAGAGTCCAATCTCTTGACAATCATGCTACACTGCAGGTACAGCAGTGATAGAACTAAAACTTACATCTGCTAAATCCTAATTCAGTAGTTTTTCCACCACCCACTGGGATATATATATCCTGAATATCAATTCATAAATTATTCATTACTTGGTTCTCAGTACTACTTTGGAACCTGTCTCTGTTCCTAAATAATTCATTTTAATCTTTTTAGCGCTAAATAATTTGAAAAGTATAAGATATGAAAGCCAACTCTACATGAGCTGATTTCTATCGCTGCACTTCTGAAAATAATTTCTCATGTAAAATGACGAAAATCTACAGAAATAAGGGCCAGTTCAGTCATACAAGAAAAATTCAGATGATATAAATGGTTTAGTCTTCTATGGTTATACATTTTTGACTGCTGTACATGATAACCGTCTTTACCAATTTCCAAATCAATTGTTCACACAAGGGAAAATTACCAGTCTTGGCAAGAGGCAAAGTATTTTCATCTAATTTATGATTCTTGTAATAGGTTGCAGTTTGGATAGGTATTTCTTGGCTAGAAAAATCCTATGAAAGATTTTAAAAGATCTGTAATTCTCTTGTGATCTGCTAATGCAGTGTAGACCACTTTGTTGTCTATAAGTTTAGAAAACCTTGTTCCCAAGATACCAGCTGGTTTTATAGTAGGAGAAAGAATTGATTTCTTTGTAAACAGGAAAAGAGCTTAAGTGAAAAGTAAAACCTGGGAGCTAAATAAAAGATGACTCTTGTGTTCTTAACTTCAGTTTGAATAGACTTACAGGACTGCTGCAGTGTTCGGAGCCATCTCCTGCTCTGCCTGGAATTTCTCGTTTCGGACTGCTCATGTTACACTCAGCCTCCTTGACCAGAAAGAGTTGTTCATCCAAAGCCTCCTTCTGCAGCTGGAGTTTCTGTACATAGCCTGTTTGAGTCTCCAGTTCCTTTTCTAGGGAAAAGATGATCCTGTCCTTGGCTTTGATTTCATCCATCTGAATTAAATGACACCCAGGACATTTTATTTAACAATGCTGTAAAGAAATGCATTTTTATAATGGTATGAGTTCAACTTTTTTGGCTGATTGATACAGAAAAAATTCATGAGTATGAAAAGAGTACTGAATTCATGAATAAGACAAGGCAAGACTGAATAGTGAAGGGCCATCCTAGGCTGATTAGGGGTCAGAGAGTAAGTTTTTCTCTTCAGTATATTCTGTGTAGATGCTTCGATTCAATATATTGTTTAAAATGGTCTGGGTAGGTTGGAAATGGAAAGAAAAAGTTAACTTTAAAATGAGTCATTTGAGATACTAACTGTTCCACTACAGTATTCCTCAGAACAATTTTTGGTGTGACCTCCTCTTTGGGGAAATAACCTTTGAGTTCTGTTCAAATGGCAGTAGCCACTATGAATGGGTCATTTGTAACTGAAGGAGCTGCCAACTTCCCAACAGCCTGGTCATTTTCCAATACCACTATGTTTGCATTCAGGTGGTGAATGTGGACTGAGGTCCTTTTGTGGTTCATGTTATATGGCTCATTCCATTCCTATCCATGTTTCAGAGCAGTTTGTAGTAACCATTTTGCCCTTATTGTCAGAAAACCATGGTTGGAACAAGAACAGGGATGGAAAATTCCTGGTTATATCAGCACTATTTCCCCTCCTGCACCGGTGGGACTGAACCCAACACTCATTTCTGCTAAGCCTGGGCATGGCCTCAGAAATATTTCTCAACTACAGGCCTATATGAATTTGATACCAATTGTCCAGAGTTTCATTGGACTGAAACGTTTTTGCCATCTCTGGGTGAAGGCTAGTGAAGTGACTGTCCATAATAATTTTTGAAGAAAGCACAGCCATCAGATTAAACCTTTCTTCTATTCATGATATTCTATGTGAATATTCAAAAAGATAGGGAAAAACACTTAACACAAACAATATTATACTCTTTCTTCTCTTTATAAAATATCTCCTTATAATTATAAATCACCTTGTATAAATTTTTCTTTGCTGTGTTCCTTAGACCAAAAAAAAAAAAAAAAAAAATTGGGGACAGTGGGACAGAAGTTGTATTACATAGTCACATATTTCCCACAGGTAAATATCTGCAAGCTATTGACACCAAGTCACATGATGAAATTTTAAGTCAACTTTGGGAGAGCACTGGGCTAAATTCTGCATGGCCCTGCAATATCATATGATAACTCAGTGAGGAATGAAACACTGTCCTGTCAATTTGAGAATAAAAGCATTGTCTTTAGTTTCTGTCTTCTTATAGAAGACTTGAGTTCAATGTCATTCTTAACAGGAGCACATTCATTTGTCAGATTGGTCATCTATGGTGTTATTTACTGTTTACCATAGTTCCACATCTGCATACTCCTAGTTGGTTCCGATGTACCCTACCTAACTAAACTTGTGGGGAAATCATTCCATCAGAGTCATCATAACTGACATTTATTGATCTTTCGCCACATTCAAGGCACTAAACTCAGAGCTTTATGTACTTTATCTCGTTTGATTTATGATTCTTTTATGTAGGTTCTGTCATCACCATTTTACAGATGATGACTGAGGACCTGAAGGGTTAATATGGACATAATCATAATGCTAATAAGGGTGAAGTTGATTTTAAATTTGGTCTTCCAACTCTAGAGCCCATTCTATTAGACGGCTCTACTGGCACCAAGATTATCCATAAATTTCCAGCATTTCTCAAAGTGGTTTTCTATAGGGATATCCAGCAATTATTGTCAAGAAGGCTCTATTGATGGTGGTTATAAGTATGGACTCTGGTCTCTGAATAACAAAATCTTCCAAAGTTCTGTTCTCAGATGGAAGGAGATATATACCAGAATTTCCTGGGGGAACTGCTCCTATTTCTCTCACTTCCAGTTCTAAGAATGGAGCTGGGGGTGAGGTTAGAGAAAGGATAAGAAGAAGGTAAAAATTAAGACAGATGCATCTGCATTACTGAAAAAGGTTCCCATGTTATTCTGTTTGCATCCAATTTTTGAACCCTCTTCAAGGAGCTTAGATTTTACATTGCTAAAAAGAGGGACTTAGTGTCTCCTTCAGCAATGTGCCAGTGAAAGTAAGTCATGGAAAAAAATTACCAATTAACAAGTGGATATACTCATAGATTTTACATCAAAAACCATCAACAAACAAAAACATTTCATGTGAAGCATCCTGTTCAGTTACCTACCTGCTGACTCCAGAGTTCACAGTCCTGATTCTTTCTTATCAGCCATTGTTGTTTCAAAAACCAAAGGCAGGGCAGAGATCAGTATTTCTGCACTGAGTTTGGTCTTTTTTTGTCAAGCAGTGCAACAGAATGAATTGCAGATGTAGAATTAGAGAAGTACAGCAAAGGCAACATTTCACGGTGACACTGTGTTACAGCACAAAGAAAACCACACGTTTCTCTTCCTAAAATGTTTATGGTCACCACTTTTTACTTAAAATTGAAATCCTAGCAATATCATTCAAGGAACATAATTAGAATTTTTAGAAAATAATTGCTTAAAATCAGCAGGCACAAGAAGGAAAGTGTAGTTTTTCCTAAGAAACTATTATTTTTAGAGAAGTATAAAGCACATTCTAACAGGTAATGGTTAATTTGATGATATAACTAAGGTATAACTAATGCTAAACATTCTGAGTATATACGCATGTAAATGTTTCTTTTAAAATAATTGGACAAGGTTATTCTAAGACAGTATAACTTTCATACAATAATTTGTTTTATTTTTAAACATAGTGAGAGACTGATGTGGCTTTTGGTGATACATATTAAAAAGAAAGACCCAACGCTGTAGAGGGTGAAGTGAGTTCTGAAATTGGTCACAGCAAACAAGTTACTTAGGAATGATATCCAATTTAAAAATCACAATGGCCCCTGTTTATTTAGGAGGAAAAGAGCGATTTTAAAAATGTCTAGGAGTTTTTAGCTCTATTTATTGCTCTCAGACATGGTCCTGGAAAGAAGACTGAAGAATCACTCAGGATGTTTCCAGTAGCTGCCCTTGTCAGCCATCCTGAAAGCCGTAAAACTTCCCCTACTCCTGTAAAAACCCAACGACATTTTATAAACGTAAAGCATGCTGATTTTAGAAGGGTTCATAATTTAGAATATTTTTACAGGTATTGTGCTGGCTGGAAAATTACTGCTTGGCTATCGCCCATGGGAACATAGGCTATTGCCCATGAGAACATAACAGTCTAGCAATAAGCTTTCTGCTTCTGTACCCCCGCTTGCACAACCGACCTGTGGGTTGACAGGTAGTGAACAAGAGAAAAATAGACCTTTGTGTTTAAGACAGAATGAGGAATGAGATTTAGGGCTTAAAAACCCTGTACCTCTACATTTTGGGGCTGCTTAATTTGGGGTCTGCGTACCCCTGGCAGACCCAGCTGGCTGAATAAAGAGCATGTTTCCTATAACTCACTGATTTCTGGTGGTCCATGTGTCTTTCGGGGGCTGGCGGCTACAACATTTGGAGGCCCCAGCGAGATCAAGGAGTGGCCCTGGGATCTAAGACTGGACCGGTCTCCGAAGCAGTTGCTGTCCCTGTTACGGATTCAAAGGGGCGGCCAACCTGAGACGTTCCAGGGCCCTCGAATGCTGTGAAGGGTCAGTACAGTACAAAAGGATGCAACCTTTAGGACATGCGCTTTGTTCCTGGTCCCAACGGGAATCTGGAATCTCCGAGGCCTCAGTGTCTGGATAAAAGGTACCTTCCTGTTTCTGTTGACCTGTCATTGGGGGTCCATGGAGAGACTGGA